AAAGACCCTTAAAAGCTGTGTCATTTTCCTTATATTTCTTTTGCAGTCAAGCCATCCCCTTCATAGTTATTTGTTGTAGTATCCAGCTCAAGTTGTATTTACTTCTTCGTAAGCCAGTTCATCCTTTGCAACTTGCTAAAAAGGTGCGCAACAGACTTTGCCCAACACGGTTGAAACTTTGCCAAACTTTGATATTTGTTTCCTGTTGTACCAAATATTGCTTTCTTAATGCTTTACCATGTTATTTGAGTTTGTTTTCAATGGCTTTTAAGAGTTTCTCATTCCAAGCTACCATTTATTTGTTTGCACTAATTACTTTGTTTCTCCTTCCTGCTCAAGTAATCTTTATAAACTATTGTTTTTTACTCATCCGTAAACAATCCTTTGAACCAAGAAGTTTTAAGTAACTTGTGGCGCACTCAGCACACTTTAGTTTTGATAAGAGAGCTTGAGAGCCTACCAAAGGCTCCATAAAGGCACCTTCCAAACTAATCACACAATTTGCAAGTTGTGTGAGGCACATTCTAAGCCGAACCGAAGCTCCTCTTTTGACCATGCAGATCCGCAGTCTAATGGCGCCAACAAATCGTCGAGGTCAAAAACCATTTCTTCACCGTTCTCAAAAAGAAAGTCTTCATCCTTCAAAAGCGACTCACCACCTTCGCTGACCAAGCTTTATCGGCACATAATCATGATCAGAATAATTTTGTGGGCATCGTACTACCGTCAATGTTGCTTATGCACTGCTGATCATGATTAGTAGCGTCACTAATCATCTTATAATTGCTTTCATCGATGGTATGGGTGATCACACTAGTAGTATTCTGTGATCCCACTTCGTTTCTTGCCTTTGTTTTCGCTGGCTTCTCCTTCACTTGTTTTCTTGCCTTCGTTTTTCCCCGGCTTCTCGTTGGCTTCTTTTCTTGCTCTCTTTTTTGCTGGCTTCTCGTGCACTTGTTGGGTTGAATTTGAACAATTCTTCTTGTTTCTACTCCTAGAATTCTTTTTAAGTCGCCAAAGAACCACCTTCCCATTTTCGTGATCGGATTTATCAGCGCCACCAACTACACTAGGAAGAATACTGTAGTCTTCCAAGAGCCAGTCACCGTCATGCTCACACCCTTCCTTCTCATACCGCAAATTCCTCTTTTTCCCTATAGGTTTTTCTTTCTGTAAATCGTTAATCAGCTTTGAGTTGGATTCGCTCCACGTACCTCCGGCGGAAATTTCACGTTTGATGCGTGCCTCGCTTCTATTCTTGAGTTGGAAGAAGAAGTACAAATCTTGACCGTCAAGGCACCATCTGCCGAAATTCTCCCAAACCACCCACGGCGGAGTCTTGTTGAAGAGGTCGAACTCTTAGATAAGAATAGCAGTACGCCATTGACGACTCTATTGGCATTTGATACCGTTAAGATCAGACTGCTATAGCCAAAATTGTTATTTCGTCAATAAATTTTTAATAGGAAATTTTATTTGAACAGAAGAAGCTATTTCGTCAATAAATTTTTAAAGGAAATTTTAAGAAGAATTGTTATTTCGTCAATAAATTTTTAATGGGAAATTTTATTTGAACAGAAGAAGCTATTTTGTCAATAAATTTTTAATAGGAAATAAGAGGTTAACGCTTTAAAAATCTCATTTGACACTCCAAACTTTCTATAATTAGAAAGAAAAATACATGAGGAGTGTAAAACAAAATTTTTGAAGTGTTAATAACATTTACATTCCTTTTATAAAATAACATCTCTAATTGATTTTTTTTCTTTCCAAAGAGACATCATTTGCCCCCCTCTTCCCACCATGAGCTCTATAATTGCATATGTTATAGGGAGTTTTAACGAAAAGCCCACGGTATTATTCATTTTAACGAAAAAAGAAGAAGAAGTTAACACTTTAAAAATCTCATTTGGCACTCTAAACTTTCTATAATTAGAAAGAAAAATACACGAGGAATGTAAAACAAGATTTTTGAAGTGCTAATAACATTTACATTCCTTTTATAAAATAACATCTCTAATTGATTATTTTTTTCCCAAAGAGATGTCATTTGCCCCCCTCTTCCCACCATGAGCTCTATAATTGCATATATTATAGGGAGTTTTAACAAAAAGCCCACGGTATTATTCATTTTAACGAAAAATCATATTTTTACACTAAAAAGTCAAACCTACTACTATTCATTTTACCCTTTATTTTGTCCTTATCGTTAAAACTCAAAATTTTCAAATTATTTTCATTAGTTTTCCTTATATAGGACTAGCATGTTCATGGTTGCTTTTTTTCTTTCTGCTACCAAACTCGGACGTTTGCTTTCAATGGTGTAGCCAGAAATTATTCGGCAGGTGGGCTAAGTTAAAATTGTTACTACGAAATCAAATTTTTAATCCTATGTTGCCTACATAAAGTTATATAATAATAAAAACTTGAATGTAGTAATTTGAAGCAAGAATTTTGTGCTATGTTTTCTAGGTTTTTAGCCTTCAAAGCTTTCAAGTGAATAAAAATAAGGAACCATTTGTGGTATAGAAGTTTTAATTTATTACTATTAAATATAATATTGGTTAAAGTGATGAGTTTATTTAACACCTATTAGCTCTTATTATTCTTAAAAACAACCTTACTAATAAAAAAATTCATCTGTTAAGTGGAATATGACAATTAAAAATCACAAACTAACCCAAAAATTAATATTTTTGAGCTTGAAGAACCAAACTCTCCCTATGCTATAGCCTAGGGGAACCTTGTACTTAACTCCGCCCTTGTTTGCTTTCTCCCTCTACCAAACCAAGACACATGCTCTCTCTCAACCAAACCAGTTATTTGGGTTGCCATCAACACCACCACAATAATAACACCATTACCTTCTTTTCACAAACCAACTTTTCTCTCTACAAACTTTTGTTCTCTCGAAATATAACAACTCCACTGTTAACATAACTGTTGGAGGAAAGTTGGCTATCCCACTTTTCCCACTTATTGTCAGATACTGGAGAACGCAATCATGATTCTTTTTTTTTTGGTTCATACAACAAAGCACAAAGATTTAAAAAACCAAAAAAACCCTGAAATTAAAAGAAAGGAAGATTATTTTAGCTAGTTCACTTTTTCACATTACAATTTTTCTACCGTGAGTTCTAAACTTAAAATATGATAGAAAATAAACTAAAGAAAAGGAAATTTCAACATATCTATCAAAACATTTTTAATCATCTTCAAGAGCCACAATATCAATAGTGACTACATTCTCTAGCCCTTGAAGTTGTAAATTGATCAGTATAATCCACTACACATTCTTGTCCAACCTTGTTGCTTTGATCAGAGGCATCATCAAATTCTTGTTGCTAAAAAATTAAATGACAAAATTATGGTTACAGTCAGAAACCTTTAAGTTATGACTCACAACAAATGGACACAAATTATAAGCAATTATACTGAATTTGATCGAATGAAATTTGAAATATCATCCAAAGGTCACACAAATCTCAGTAGCAATCATTCTAATTTTGTAATGCATAAAAGTGGTAATTTTAAATTGTTAGTAGCAATCTAGGTGGTGGTCTAGTGTTAATTAAGGTGTAAAGATTATTAAGGTCCTTGCAATGTCTGCAAGTTTGCAAGTCCTTGCAATGTGCTTGGTGCTTGGTGCTTGAAGTAAAAAATTGAAAGAACTAAAAATTCTTGTAAAGTCGAAAAATTGAAAGAACAAAAATCTTGGTGCTTGAAGTTTTGCATCTTTCCAATTATCACAAAAGTAGTATAGTTTCCTTTTATATTGTGTTTTCATCTCGAAAAGAATCTCAGAGAAAGAAAAAGATATCTCATGAACGGATGCCACCCGTGGTTAAGGTTGATGAGGTTGGGCAATTTTTATTTGCACCAAGAATCAAGTTATGTCTTTGCAGTATTAATCAAAAGTCCTTGCAATCGTGTTTTGGGGTGTAGACAAACACTGGCATAGTAAAACAAATACAATGTAATATTAAAGTATGAAATTTGACCTAAAGAAGAAACAAACGAACAAAATATCCATAAATCGAGTCATACCTTAGTTAGAGGAATCAAAACTTCAAAATCACCATCCATCAATAGAAAAGCTTGTTTTTCTCTATAAAAAACTATTAGGGTTTTAGTCGGAATGAACATAGGATAAACAAAGGGTGATGCTAGGATTTAATTATATTATGTGGATTTATTGATAAATTTGAGTTTTATTATTAATTTTATTTTGTACTTAATAGTAATTATGCAATAGGATAAAATAGACAATTAATATTTAAAATTTAAGTTGAGTGTAGAAAAAAATTATATGAGTTTAAATAAATTTTCTCTTTTTTAATTCATGGACCAAGCCTACAATTCGATGATGGCTTCGGAACTAATGTTCTGATTTTCCTTTTTTTTTCTTTTTTTTTTATTATGTTGGAAAAAAAACCTTTTGGGGATTCTTGATAAGACTCAATACTAGAAACATTAGGAAGAACTGTATTACTCTAATAACCCCATCTACTATCTACAGTGATGCTCACACACCATTTGTTCTCACACCACAAATTTCGCTTTAGCCTCGTAGGGTTTCCGTTCATCACATCCTTAACCCTCTTTGGAGGCGCCATCGCTCCAAGTACCCTTGAACTCAATCTTGTGACTAATACGCGAAACATCCGAGCTTAAATTCTTGAGCTCGGAGAAGACACACAAGTTTTGATTGACGAGGTTTTTTTTTATTTTATTTTATTTTTATTTTTAAATAATCATATTAAGAAGTTTTGATTGACAAGATAAGGTATTCCAAATTTCTCCAAAAGATTGGACTCGAGCACACAATAATGTTTTTGTATGCTACCATTAATGACCCTTTGGCTTTTGTTTTCTTGTAAAGGAAGTAAATGACTCCCAATACCATTATTATAATTTAACCGTTGTTATGTTTATTGAAGTTTTGATCGGAAAAAGGAGAAAGACGACCTGAAAACCTTGCTTTTGATATGCATTAAATATTTCCAAGAATTTTCATATATTTGACATATATGATAAGAAAAATAATTAACATGATAAAATTTTCCAAGACTTTTATCCTCTCAAGCTAGCTACGAGAGAGAGGGAAGCCAATTCCATGGCGTCTGGAGGGGAATAAAACAAACAGCAAGCTGCATACGATACCAGTTCCGACATGGAACGCCACCAAAAGCTGCCTGGCCTCCTCCGATAGCTTGGGGTAGAAGCAATTGACGACATTTTTATCCAACATTGCCACCGCAGCAAATACAAGTATGGACATGAAGGCATGGAAAAAATCTATGAACTTTAGCCTATATTTAGCTGCCTCCTCCGGCGAAAGTGTGATTTTGGACCCGTCGAGGATCCACAACCCTTTAAATGTTGCCAACCCATATCGCACCTTGCCTCGTTCGTCCCTCAAGCTATCGGTCAAGCACAAAAGGAAGCAGGTAAGGCTGCAGAACGTTAGGAGGAGCAGAGTCACGGTTTGGTTGAGGATGGCCGGGCACTTCCCTTGGCATGTGAAAGCGGGGGAGAGCATTTGGAACACGAGGACGGTCCCCGTGGGGAGAAGATTAGACAAATGGGCCGTGGCTTTGAAGGTCTTTCTAATGGCCTTTTGTGCCGGGGTTTTTGGTTGTTTTGGCTTTGGGGCAGTCGAACTTGATCCTTCTCCTCCTCCTCCTGCATTATTATCCAAAAGTGGTTGCTGTGCTTCCTCGACTGCTGCCATGTCAATCCGATTACTGTTAAAGCCTTTTACCCTTGAAGCCTTAGACTCTTTCCCCTCCTCGAAAGAGCTAGGTCAGCCTTCCTCCTGCACAAATAGATCGAACCAACGAAGAACGATGAGATTAACACTGGTTTAGTAAATAATAAAAGGAATTATAAATGGTTAAAGAACTGAATATTGAGATTAACAAAATTAGGATTTGTTTTTCTGTTTGGTTTTGGCAAGTGAATAGTAAAAACTAGTGATCAACTGCTTTCATAACTGACCATGCCTTCCAGAAACTCTTGTAAAAATTAACGTTTGTTTGGGAGTTTCATTTGATTGGAGGGGACCAATATGAAACGTTCGAATTATTTCAAAAGAAAACTAATAAAAAAAATTTAAAAATTTTGAGTTTTAACCAGAAATTAAGTTATAAGTTTATTTAATAGTTAGTACAAATTCAACATTAAATCAACCCAATAAGATTAGCCCAAGCAATTAGTTTCCAATTTTACCCTTGATTTCTACTCTTGACCCGTTTAATCTTCTCTCTCTTTCTCTCTCTCTCTCTCTCTCTCTCTCCCCCCCTCTTTCTCAATCTCTACCCAATTTCCATTTTCGTACCTTGAGACAGTTTGAGCCTTGAGGTGCCCAAGCAAATATATGAAGCAGCTCCTCCATTGTCGAAGAGAAGTGAGTAGAGGGACAAGGAAGGGCGGCAACCCCTTTGCTCGTCGAAAATTGACAGTGAGAGTGAAGATTCCGCCCCTCTGATCTTTCAACCCTGCCGGAATCTAGGTTTGCAGCACTGCGTTGATGCTGCTGCGTTTAATTTTTTTTTTAAATATCCAAGCCCTTCTAATGTTTCTAGCATGAATTGTGGTCATTTATAGAAGTTTTGCTGCTGCGCTTCAGCAATATTCCGCCCATCAGTGGTAGAAAGTTGAAACTTAGATGTAGAAAGCTAGAGAGAGAAAGAGAAGGACCAAGATAGAAAAGAATGATGGATGTGCGTTCTAGAGAGTAGTTTTATTATTTTAAAAATGTAGATTCAATAAAATATTGTAGTCTAATAAAATGATTGATTTGATTTACAATAAAAAAAAATAGAAGGAAAAAACCTTGTTTTTCTATTGGGACACAGTTTTATTTTATTTTATTTTGTTTTACCAAAAAAATAGTGTAAAAATGTAATAGGTTCCACCAATGCCAACCGTATTCAAATATGCATGGTCGGAAGGTGTGGAAGCTATAAGGTAGTGTATACGCTTCTTATATTGGCTTTAGTATTATTGATTGTAACCACTTTTGAAAACTAAACCAAAATAATACACACTATTTATGTAATAGAACAAAATAAACACCATTGTTAGAATTATAGCAAAATAACCATATTATTTTTGAAACTGAACCAATATAACCTACACTATTTCTGAAACTATAGCAAAACAACCACAATATTTTGAAACTGAACCAATATAACCTACACTATTTGAAACTGAACCAATATAACCTACACTATTTCTGAAACTATAGCAAAACAACCACAATATTCTGAAAATGAATCAAAATAACCACACTATTTCTAAGACTGAACCAAAATAACCACACTATATCTGAAGCTACTGCAAAATAACTCACACTATTTCTGAAATTGAATCAAAATAATTCACACTATTTATGAAATTACAGAAAAATGACTCACTATTTATGAAACTGAACCAAAATAACTCATATTATTTCTGAAACTATAGCAAAATAACCACACTATTTCTGAAACTATAACAAAATCTGAAACTACAGCAAAATAACCCACACTATTTCTTAAACTAAACCCAAATAGCCCACATTATTTCTAGAACTATAACAAAATAGCCCACACTATTTTTGAAAATTAAACCAAAATAATCTACATTATTTCTAGAAGGAAACAAAATAAACATTATTTTTGAAATTACAACAAAACAACCCACATTATTTTGAAACTAAACCAAAATAACCAATATTATTTTTGAAATTGAACAAAAATAACTCATACTATTTTTGAAACTGCAACAAAGTGACACCTATTTTGAAACTGAACCAAAATAATGAACTTTAAAACTATGAGATTTGCAGTCTTATGAGCCAAGATTTTCACTACGTTGTGTTTAGATAAGGATTTTGAAGAGCACTAACGAGTTTTAAATTATTTCTTTACTCTTCACAACTACTTAACTTATTTCCCTGATAATATCATCTAATTGCATTGATAAGAGAAATACAAAAAGAGACAAAAGGGTGAGGTCACAAACGTCCAAACCCAGATAAAAGATAGAAAATAAAGGTGATATGGCCCAAAAACAAAAAGAAAAAAAAACAAAGATAGATTTGACCCACATGAAAAAGAAAAAACAAATGTGACAGACAAAGATACGAATATAACCAAACAAATATTTAATGGAAATGTGGCCCCAACAAACTTCACATAGTTCAAGGCCTAATGGAAAAATTCATCTTTTTTATGGAATGGACTGACAGAATGAGAGGCAATGGCTGGACAAAAAGAAAAATTAGTGTTGCACATGAGCTTCTTTATTATTAATGAGGCTTTAGCTTTTATTCTTATTATATTGTATTTTTTCATTTTTATTAAATTTCAAGTCTTATATTAAATAAAGTTATAGGTCAGTTTTTGGTTAAAATAAACTTATCTCAATCCATTTTCTTTAAAGGTCCCTTCTTTCAAACACGGTTGGACTTGCAAGGTCAACCACATAATATTATTTTTATGCAGATGTTAAAAGAAACTGAATTTTGAACACGACGGAAAAAAGGATCGATGAACCCGCCCGCTATCCGTGGATACCATCACTACGGTTGTCCGGCTGCTGCCAATCTCCCACCAAAACGGTGTGATTCCGGCATTCGGTATATTTCGCCACGAACGAGTATAAACATGAAATGTTACAAAAGTGACCGGCTTCCGGCTTCCATTTACAGCAACGCGGATAATACGTCGTTACGGGATCGCAGAGTCCCCTATCTTCCCCATGCAATGAACGTTTAAAGTTGTCCATCGATTCCCACGTTTTCAAATTCCCTTTTACATAACAATACGGAAAGCAACATAAACAACCAAAATTGCTATAGAGGGGGGCGCGCATGAAATGAATATTTCCTTTCAAAGTAGCGCGACTCCGGTTCATCAGGCATTGTGGGGGAGACAACGGACAATTTATGTTCTCTTTAGTATATTTACATTCAAAAGGGTCTTGCTCTTGGTGAACTGCCGAGCGTTTGAGCTTTAAGTAGCGTTGTTTCCTGCCAGGGATCAAGAGTGTACGACGTAGTAGGACTTAGCTTGTTATACGATGAGTAGTCGCTCAAATTGTAACTACTTTGTCCCATCATGGCATAAGTTGGATGAGGAGGAGAAAGTAACGAGCTCTTGTGTGTCTGTCCATATTGTCGTAAGGGGCTTGAACAAGGAGATACAGGCAAAGATGTAATCATCCTTATATTCTCGCTGCATATCGAAGATTGATAAGAGACATTTAACATAATAACACGCTCGACAGACTACATCGATGGGGATATGACAGGAAAATATATTTACCTAGGGCTCCGCCAATCTCTTGAAGTTGCGATTGTGGGCTTTGCTGTGTGATCTGCATCACTCAAGGTGAAACTTGTTCTGTTGGAGTGTAGCTCTAATACTGGCTGCTCAAAGAAAGAAATGAGAATGAAATCACGTATGGCAAGCGCTTAAGTTTGATAGACACTTGTCGGAAATACTAGTTTAACGATTCAAGACATAACATTGATGATGATATGCGAATAATTCGTTCAACAAATTGCAGTTACGTTTTATTGTAACTTCTCCGAATAGTCTCAAGCACTTTAAGACTATAGGCCAGCAAAGAAACTAAATTCCACACTTCTTTCTATAGGAACACATTTTCACACTTTCACCTCCTTCACACATTATGCACTTAGTTTCAATGATTTGACCAATATATAACATTATTTACGCTAAAAAGTTGAAACAATTGAAGCAAGCAGAACCTTCTATTAAGCGCATGCGCACACACGCACACTATGTTGCCTGAAAATTGTCCATTGTTTAATAGGTTTTTCTATAGCCGCTTTCTAGCTCCAAAGCGAGTATCAATTCGTAATTTGGCCCACAAACTAAAAGCTTAAAAAAATGCAGTAGAAAGTTATAGGCTTTACCGGCGTCCTGCTTCCGTGAAAAGCATATGGGAAGGCATCCTTGGTTACTTTGATGTTAGAAGATCTTGTCGTTGTTTGCTCCCTAATGAAAGGGTGGTCTAGAAGTCCAGAAGCCGTAGGACGCTCCGATGGGTTCCGTTGCAAACATAGCCTCACAAAACTCTTTGCCTCGTTTGAAAGATGATCAGGAATATGTGGAATATCTTTGCTGTTTCCAATTTTAAAAATTGCAGCCACCTGTTGAATTTGATGTAAGGAAACAAGTTTTGGTGCAACAAAAACTTTGTAGCTGATGATAACAAAGAAACTTGTAAAGCAATAGGTTCTGAACAGTATATCGCACCCCTTCGTACTGGCTCCAAGGAGGTTTAGAAGTTGCCATTTCAAGAATTGTACATCCTAAGCTCCATATATCCACGGCAAGGCTATAACCGTTCGTATTCATTACGACCTGAAATTAACATTTCATGAACATGAAAATTCCACTACAGTGAACTGGATACTAACAATACAAAAGAAAAAAGAGGGAAAAAGATGTTGAGATAGAGAGAGAGAGAGAGTACCTCTGGGGCCATCCAATAAGGACTTCCCTTGAATGACAGCATTGAAGCACAATTTGTGATCTGATTCAGAAAATAAAATCATCAGATTTCTCAAATTTGATTTAGAAAAATGACTAGGAAAACTAACAATTACATACTATTCTTCTATTTCCTTAGTCAAATGCCACTCTTAGATACTTAAATCTATGTGCTCAAGTTCGTCGAAACAATTTCCCTCTTTATATTGTCTCTAAGAAACAAGCATTATTGCTCATTAGTAACTCATTAAAGTATAAAGCAGCAGATAAGAAATACAATGATGAAACTTATTAACCGCGCTTCAATGTGCAAATTAGAGAAAATGATAACTCCCAAAATTGAGGAGAAACCAAAGCCCAAAGTGTAGTCTGATCTTACTGTTTCCCCAATAACCTCCACTCTATATCCTCCATATTTTAAAATATCCTCTTGAACCAAAGCACCTGATAAATAGCCAACAGACCACCTTGTGTAAAACCTTATATTTCTTTCCCTCTAGCAGTTTCTCACAAGGAAAACATATCCTTGTGAAATTAATCTGTCCTGGTTTCCTGAATGCTAAGACATATTGTATAGTTAACAGTTTCATTCTTACTCTTCCTAGACACATTCATGTTTGAGATAAATTAGCAATTCTACACCTTCATTACTTCACTAAGACTTCATTGTGCAGAGGATAGATGCAATTTACATGTTTAGCCATGCCAAAGTCTGCCAACTTGATTTCACCATTAGGACCCACTAATATGTTTGCTCCTTTGATGTCCCTGCAAGGAAAAACAAATTAGTAAAAATATTATAAAGATATAATACAACTGTCACAACTTTAATTAAAAAGATATAATAAATTATTATCAGTGCAAAGTAGGAAGGTACAAGATGAATAAAAATATTGTAGGATTCTGAAAAAGACAAAAAATTAGATTTAGTAAGAAATATTGCCAACCAAGAAAAAAGGGAAGACAAGTATTCACATGCCCGACCACCATATGACTGAAAATAAGGGAAGGGGCGATAATGAAGACATTACAGGTATTAAAACTCATATACCTATGAACTGTATTTCTTTCGTGTAAGTAGGCAAGACCAGATACAATCTGTCTGGTATAATTTTGAATCACAGGTTCCTTAAAGGCACCATATTCTTGTAGTAGTTTATAAATTGAGCCACCAGACACATATTCCAAATAAACAGAGAGTGCATCTTCA